GGGATATTTAACAATTCAGATGAGGACCGGGCGATAAGCATCTCTGGGTTGCATAAGTCCAATCTCAGAAATAAACGAGATGCGATTGTCCGTCGAAATTGGGAGGTGGGATGGGGTGGTCAGTGGTCTGATAAACTTGCGAAAGAAACTCAGAAAAATGCGGGGTATAATCCCAGCATACAAGTACTTTTCTCTTCACAGACTTACTTTTTGTGGGATGAACTTGAAATTAATTCTTTTACTATGAGATACAATATTTATTGCCATTTTAAATGTGTGCAAAAAAAGTTTCATATATATATCACTTATATTTTTTATAGAGAACTTCCAAATTGTTATCTACTACTACGACTTTTTTTAAATTTACGCAGCCAGTTAGTCGAATGTTAGGCAAGTATCTTATGGCTATAGGTATAATTTTATCGACTAAACTATTTGATCCATATATATTAAAAACTTATTATCGTTGCTCATGTAACTAACCATATTAAAAAATCAAAATAAACTTTTGCAGATTACTAATGATTAGCTAACTTTTCACTTTGCAAATTCCAAATAAACCTTGCAGATTACCAACGATTTTACTGACAACCTTTGAATGGTAAGCCACTTAAATATTGGGAATACTATGAGTCAAGTTATGGGCTCTAAATCAACAGTTTGAGTCACCTTTTCGCAAGCATCCGAAAACTGGAAAACAGTTAACATAAAAATGAAACCATAACTCAAATTTAAACGTATGTTTATTTTTATTATCATTTAAAAAATATATATATATATTTGTGGGTGTTCTTTAAATTGTTGTATAAATTTAAAATCTCGTATCTCTCAGTAATTAAAATACAAAAGCATAATATTTAATTCAAAACATATTTATTTATATTATTTATATTTATTGCATGATTTAATTTAAAAACATTTTAACTAAGATAGAAAATATTAGATACGATGTTAGTCATACAAATTTCTTTTAAGCATTTTGAAGTTGAATGAAATAGAAAAACGTATTAATTTCAATGGTATAAATTCATAGATGAGCTATAGTTGTTAAAAATTATTTGGAATATGAAATTAATGGATTTACTACGTTATTTTTTTATGAGTGTAGCTTAAATAAATGTTGAATAAATTCAGCCTATAATATTTGCAATTCCCTATTCGATTTTATGGGACTTTATGGGGTTGGTCTTAGGAATTTTCTATTACACTTAAACTGCAACCTAATGCCTTAATCCTCGGACTCTTGGACTTTGGCGTGGCATCCTCTGCCACCTGGAATTGGCCACTTGGAGCAAAGTGGCCAAGCGGCGACTGAAATCCGCTGCAGGAGCTTAAGCCGCAGTTACTGGTCCGGTTTCAATTGGAAGCGCGGATGGCAATTGACTGGTAAATTTAGCAACGGATTCAAATTCGGTTTGGCATGCGGGGCACGTTGTCCGCCTGAAAAAAAAAATGGAAAAATGGAAAATGTGAGCTGAACGTGGAAAAGCTGCGCATTTAAATCGACGCCGGTTGTCAACATGTCGTCGAAGTTGTAGTTGTTGTCATGGCCATGGGCGGCCAATTGCCAACTGCCGGGGGGATTGCATATCCAAAGACTAACGTCGAATGTCGAATGTCTGGTGGCGTCAAGTGCGCACCGCTCAAATTAAAATGAGCCGTTAAGATGCGACTTCGAACGGGCCAAGTCGAACCGATAAAATAGTCAACTCGGCCGTTTGTGGCGCATTTGGCGGTCGTGCCATTGATTGATGCGGCTTTAGCATTAACCCCAAAATGCAAACAACGGAACCCCTGGAGATACTCTGGGATATGATAGCCTAGCCGAAAAAACAAGCCATACAACCGAACTAATATCAATAATAGATTTTAAAATATAATTTTATCTTAAATATATTTTTTTCTACATGATACTGAGTTCTGTATGTGCAAAAACAGGCCGAAAACATGTATAAAAGTAAAAAGAAACGTTTTTAAGGTATAGGTAAAATCAAGTTGGTATGGAGAGTTTTACTTTTAAACATCTTTTAGCCCTGTTTTGCTAGTTTTTTGTGAGTATTATATTTTTCCATGTAATGATACGATTTGCCTTAAAATCTATTTACATTTTTTTAACTGTTTAGATAAATCGATCGTTGGTTTTCTTTTAGGTTTTATAAGTCTAACAAATTCTTTGGAATTTAGTATTTATTTATTTATGTTTAAGACTACTGGAATAAATATCTGAAGTAATTTATATTTTTGTATGAAATGCAAGATAAGACTTAAAATTTACATTATAAATTACACATCTACTTAAAAATATTTTTTTGGCGGTGATAAATTTACTGAATCATTTTACTTCCATAAATATTTCTAAAATGTTCAACGAGGAAATAAGCAATTTGGACTTTTTTAGCATACAATTTACTTTAGATTGCAATTTTGATTTTTGATTTGATATCACCGCCATTGTACCCACTCGATAAGGGTACGATCCAAAGGCCAAAGGCCAGAAGCCGTACGCAGTCTCCATCTCAATCGCACTTAAAGTTAAACTTAAACTTCAACTTCATTTTCGACTTCAACTTCGACATCGACTCCGGCGGGCAATTGAAACGCTTTGGATTTGTATGTTAATGGGGCTCGATCCGCGCCGATCCAGGGGCGGTTTATGGGTACTGGGGGTGAGGACTGAGAAGTGGGGCTACGTGCTCATTACGCTCGATAAATGCGGCCGGCCTCGGAGTGATTCGAACGTGTAACGGCTGGCGGAGAAGAAAGCGTTCCGCCAAAAAAGGGGCACAAAAAAGCGCAAGACAAACAAACTGCCAAATGAATCTCTTTGAGGTCAGCAATTGAATGTGCTCGATGGGCAGACAGGCACCCAAGGGGGATTCAATTAAGTTTTCTATCACCTGTGTGGGTGGTGGAGGCGGTGGTGCCACAGGTATGTGTATTGTTAATTTGTCAAAATGCAAATGCTCGTGCCAGGCAAATTGTTGGAGCAATGTCACCCACGGGCAACAGCAGACACAGATTCAGGCATCTGCACTGGGAAAATAACTTTACGGGATCTTAGCAAATTATTAAAAATGGTTGTAGAGGAGACATTTCCGTTTTTCATATTAAACCTATATATATATAACCTATATATATATAAAAACAGATCCGAGAAATAAAATAGAAAGACATTTTAAAATGACTTGCACTTCTGTTAAAATGCGTTGAGATATTTATACAAATATCGAAATTTTGAAAACCGAGTTATATTAAGTAAGAATTATGTTTTTAGTATACATACATTTTTTCGTAAGCCAAGTAGAACTTATACTTATGTCCTTTTAATGCTCAAATTTGTACTCTTCGTAATTTTGAGAATACAGATACTCAATTTGAGAACGTTGAGATATTTAAAAAATACAGAAAAGTAGAAAACCGAATTATGTACAAAAATTTTTTTATATTAGATAAGAAATCGGTTCTTAGTATAGCTATATTTTTTCGTAAGCTGAGTAGAATTTATACCCAATGTTAGCTTTTTGCCAAAATTTGTACTCATCCTAATATTAGAATTAGAATTAGAATTCTCTTTAAGTGGATTAATTGAAGTAATAGATTTTAATCAAATTTTTTTTATGATGTAAATTAAACAATGAAGGATTAAAAATAATAGGAGTATTTTTTAATGTATTGCTTAAGAAGGTGACCATATATCAATTAAATAATTTCATGAAAATAAAACACTTCTTGATTAAAGTTATATACCGAATTTATTACAATTTATTGGTCATTATGATATTGCTAGCTGATGTAATTTTTCAAGGGCTTATGATTTGAAATTAACAATTTTAATACGTAGGCAAAGATATATGTATTCTTTGAATTTTCTTTAGTGTAGAGAAAGGAGCGTGTTGTTCAGGCAAGGGGATTTGAGAATTGACATCTGTCCAAGTCCAAATCGATCCAAAATTCGAAATCAAAACGGTGCCTGGCATTAGTCTTGCGACGTCCAGTATTTTTACCGCCCATCAAACGGAGACGAAGTCCACCTCGGTTCCGAAGACCAAGACATTTGGGATTGGGAGTGTCGCCCGCGGGGACTCGCCTCGAATTCCACGGCGTAGACAAAAGAAGTGTGCATGCCAATCCAATCCAGAAGAAAGATCCAAGAGACAGCGGGCCGAAGCCCGAAATGTTTACGTAATCCACTGGCGAAATATTTATGGGAATTACCATGCGTGTTGCATGATCAAATGGATGTATGCTAAACATTTGGCACCGAGAATCCGTGAGGAATGCAATGTGAAGGAATGCTTTGGGAACGAATCCATGAAATGCAGAAAAGTGTTCTTCTTTCGAGTGTAACTCAAATTTAATCCATTTTACAAAGTAATACATTTTAAAATAAATAAATGCCGAAGTTGGCTTTGAACATAATCTCTTTAAACTTATTCTATAATCAACTTTTCAGAGAAATGTCACGTTTAATTAGAAGAAAACAAACATTGGTAATTTTGAAAAGCCTAGAAATACATAATTATTGATGAATTTTTATGGTTTATGGCATTATAAGGTTTTTTTTAGAAATGTTGATTTAAAGCGTACCAGATAAGCTTTCGAAATGTCTTACAAAGAGCTTTCATATTAGCTCCAGCATTCCAAAGCTTTTTAATGTAGACTGGAATGTTTATAAGAACAAGACACAAAATAATAATAAAATTCAATTTTAAAATGTAAATTCAAGCCTACATACAAAATTTTTAATCTTGTTTGAATATAAAAAGCCCAGATATTTTTTAAGCTTGCTTAAATTTTTTCCTCAGTTGGCAGCCCACTTTTTAGCCGCGACACGAACCACCAAACAGCTGGGGAGTGAAAGTCTCCAAACTCTCCGCGCGTTTTTTGCCGCGTTAACCAATACTTTCGCCATCCGAAGTTCAAAGTGCTCGGGGAAAGTCGGCAGAATTTCATCCGAAGTGCCGGGTCGTCGAGTGTCCTTTAAGGCAAAGGATGCTTCGAAATTTGCGCAGTTTGCGTGCGGTTTTCGGAGCAAAAGGATGCAGCAGCAGTAGCAGCGGTGAAATCAACGTCCGCCTAAGAAGCATCTTTATCAGCGGGTTAAATTTCTAGAAAGGAGTTGTGAGTCTATAATCTCGCCTTCCCCACACCCCATTCCACCCAGAGTTCCCTGCTCCTTATCCCATATGCCATCCCCTACAAAACTGAAATGAAAACACCATGTGAGGTCTTAGTAAATCATCCTGAAATTTGGCGCGTTTCCTGCGCGTTTTTTACATTGTTGTTGCCGCTTTAATCACAATAACGAACTCAATTGCGGTTTCGCTCGGTGTTCTCTTGTTTCTAGTTTTTTGTTTAATTTTTTGCAGTGTCTACAGTGTTTGAACTATTAAAATATCACATAAACTCAAAGTTAAGTGAATGGAAAACATAAACAGTTTAAAGTGACTCAAGGGAATCCATAACTAAGGAAAAAGTGTGGAGTGTCGGGGTTTTTTTTGGGCTCTGCAAGGACCCTTGGATTACCTTGCGGGGCGAGCGGAATCGGGAAATATAACTTCGCCGGCGGTGAGTCTGAAACATATATAAACAAATGTTCCTGGTGTCAAAATATGAACCCTTCCAGCTTTCTTATATTATTTTTGTTTATTTAAAACGTGAAGTGTTGTTATGGGTATTATTTTCCCTTAGGTGTATTAAGTGTTTAGTTTATTTTCCATGTATAGGTTTTAAAAAAGCAGAAACAATTCAGCTCTTTATATTTTATTGCCTACTATACATTTTATTTATGTATACAAGACATGATAACACTTATGAAAAACACAACTTTTTTCCTTGCTTTTTAAATAAATATAGTTTTTATTCACACATTTTTTCTGATAATTATCGGAATTTTAAGTATTATTAAAACTAATAAGCACTTAAGTACCATCCATTTTTGTGTTTATTGATTTAAATAATTTTTTGTAGTTATTCCCCATTTGTATTTATTGAAACGCTTAAAAATTCTGTATGTGCCAAATAATTGCAACAGTCACGCCCCAATTAAGAATTTGGTTTTTAATTTTATATATTTTAAGCGCTAAGCCCTTATATACTTTTTTATATTTATTTAGGCTCGGGGATTTTGGATACAGGGTAACTTTAATTTATCAGTGTTTTGTGTGGATTTGTGTATTTATAGATTTTCCTTCCATATCATTACGGCTGCCATTATCAACGCCTTTATTACGCTTCCGCTTTTGTGTGGCGCCTCTTTTGCGCCCATTTGTTTTTCCTGCAGCCGCAAACTTTTCCCTTTTTGTGCCCTTTGATGTGCCACAATAGTTGCGAAATGAGGGGTCAAAGGGCGGTGGTTCGGCGGTGCTGATGATAAGCAACTTGTTACGATGACCATGATGATGAGTGAATTGAGAAGGCCTTTGTGCCCCACCCTTCTTGCGGTTTTATGCCCATTTCTATGCCCCATTCTTCCGCCTTTTATCCCACGAACCAACCTTTTTTCACAGTTTTCGGGATCAGGGTCAGGGCTGTGAAATCGAATCATTTTGTAGGCTTTATATTTAATTTGCATGGTCTGGCCACCGTACCGCCAAAAGGGTTCAAAGGGCTGCCAGTCCCCTTACCTTAAATTTCCAAAGTTTCCTGCTGAATACTCTTGGCCAGTTAACTAAATTAAATAAAAGCGGTTTTTTTCTAAGATCTAGCACGGAAAAGTATGCCATGAATTTGAGGAATATTACTGGGGAGTTGGGGAAAAGCAGACTTGATTGATGATAAAGTACTCAACTGGTCGCTAAGGTTTCTAGTTGGATTTTATTGGCTGGATGTTGCTGGAATGGGTACACAAAGTTTGATGGATAGCTGAATTATTGTTAACCAGTTTGAGCTTTATTTAAGGCACTCTAAATTTTAAATATTTGTTAAAATATATTACCCCATTTATCTTTTACATATATTTGTTTAAGTACAAAAGCATAGCAAGCATACTTATTTATGGACTGAACATTTTCCAAGAACCATTCAAGGCCTTTTGACTTATTTCCCCCCTATACTTTCTATATATTTTCTATAATTCTTCCCTCCTTCAGCTTTTCTTTATTATTCCAGTTTTTCCTTATTTTCTTCAGACATTGCAACTCGGCAACACTTTTCCGATTTTCCTTTTTCCGTATTGCTGTTGCTTCATTAGTTTCATTGGATTTGCAATGCAGCGGCAGCAGCAATAAGTTAAATTGTTGCTTCTGCCGATTTCGTTATTTCAAATTTCATTTCCATTCAGGAAACCGAAAGGAATCGAAGGCGAAATCAAAGGAGGCTGCAGCAAGGACATATTGCAACTGCAGCAGCAGCAACATCGGGGATAAAGGAGGAGATTAAGTGCTGGGAACCCCCATCTTTTTTCGGGCAGTGCATGTTTTTAAGCCCACAAAGAAGCAGCGATACAAGCGGCGCTGCTGCCGCAGAAAATGGCCGCAGCGACAACAGCAACATACACGAGTGCAGCGGCGATAGCAACAGCAGCAACATCAGCAACATGAATGAGACCTGCAGCAGATGCAGCAGCAACATTGCAAGGCAGCGATGATGTAGATGATGATGATGATGATACTGATGATGATGATGCAGACGAAGACGCTCAAGCGAATGACGATGATGATGTCGACGTTGTCGAGTTGCAGTTTCAAGAGCCACAACACAATGCCAAGTGCCAACAACAAGCTGAGCGCAGGGGAAAATTAAGTGCCAAAGGCAACCGCAGCAACACAGCAGCAACATCAACAGCAACACAGCAGCAGCAGCAGCACAGCAGCAACAGCAACAGCAACAGCGAAAAGATTTTTCGCCAGCCAAGCAGAATCAAAACTAAATTTACATAACAAAACAGGAGCAGCCAAAACAGAAGTGGGAAAACCCTTCAAGAATCTCCATTTCCCAGAAGCGTAGTCAATAAGAAAGGCAGCAACATAGCCAGCTGCAACATGCCCGGCAGCAACATGTCGGCCCCACTGGGCGGCAGGGGGCGTGGAACCTTGTGGGTGGTGCTTCTGCTAACCACCATCTTGAGCAGTGGTGCCTGGGCAGCGCCCACAGTCGCTGGTGCGGCTGCGGTGGTGGGGCAAAAGCCATTGCAGCAGCACCACCGTTACCACCATTTGGAAATCGGAGTGCAGGGCCACACGCCCACTTTGATGGAGGCCAGCAACACCAGAGGCGGAAGGCATGCACCACTGGCCACAACTAAGAAGCCATCAGAGCTTAGCACCACCACCACCACCAGCACCACTACCACAACCACCGAGATGCCAAGAGCCACTGATGAAATTCAGGTGGCCAAACCAGTGCCAACAGCTGAAGCAGAAGCATCTGCAATCAGCACCACTGAAAGAAGCAGCACTGAAGAAAGCACTACTACAGGAAGCACCACTATAGGAAGCACCACTGAAAGTAGCAGCACCACTGAAAAATCAATGGTAGCCAATGAAACTCTAAGAAGAACCACTAAAATTAGCAGCTCTGAAGGTAGCACCAATGAGGAAGGCACCACTGAGAGGGGCACCACTGAAAGGAGCACCATTGAAAGGAGCTCCACTGAGGGTAGCACCACTGAGGGTAGCACCACTGACAGGAGCACCACTGAATGGAGCACCACTGAAAGGAGCAGCACTAAGAATAGCATCACTGAGAGGAGCACCACTGAAAGGGGCACCACTGAGAGTAGCACCACTGAAAGTAGCACCACTGAAGCTAGCAGCCTCGAAAATAGCAGCACCACTGAAAAACCTCCTTCAGTGAACAAGACAACAGCACCACCGAACAAAGTAGCCTTGCAGGTGGTGCAGCTGCTGGCCTTGGAGCACACGGTGGCTCCACCATTGGACAGTGGTCACGATGGCCTTAAGCTGACCAAGAAGAAGCAGCTACAGCAGCAGCATTTCCCCACCACCAGCACCACCATGGAAACGGAAATGGAAGGCATACCCTCAACCACCACCATTAGTACCACAACTGTAAGGGCACCACCGCCCCCGGCCGCGCCCCTGCTGCCCGTGCACAATGGCTACCTGGGACCGATCTTTATGGGTGAGAAAACCTTCAGTGTGGTGCACCCATTGAAGAAACCCCAGCCGGCAAACCACCAACATGTGGCTTCGATAGAGAGCCAACTACGAAATGGCCGCCTGGTGGAGATTCTGGCGCCCACGGCGCTGCTGGAGCAGATTCCCGAGACCAGCACTACCCTCGCACCACCGGTGGGACCAGGAGCAGCCTCGGTGCTCTCCACCACCGTTTTCCAGGTGCCCGAGGTGCAAACCAGCACCACCCGTCTGCCAGCGAGCAATACCATGGAGCGCACCGAATCCAAGATCTCGGACATTCAGATCGAGGTCTACGACTCCACGGTGGATTCCATAGTGGCCTCCACTAATTTCCGTGACAGCGAGGGCTTCTATGCACCACCGCAAAGCGCCGTGGAGATGGGCACCACCAGGCCGGCCCATGAGATGATCTCGCTGCCCCAGGAGCGGTTCACCCAGTACGTTATCGACCGGGCGGATGTGTCCACCCAACCGGCATCGGGTGGTGCAGGTGGTGCAGCAGTGGGTAAACCCGAGCCGGCGGCCATCGAGATCCACATCAATGTGTCCGAGGCCTTTGGCAGCGAGAGCGAGGATCTGGAGTTCTCCTATCGGCAGCCATCGGTGGTGGCCGAAAAGCAGGGAAAGCCCGGCGACGAGATCCTGGTTGTGGAGATCATCGACAGTGGTGCGGACAACAGCAGCTCGGAGTCGGGTGGCTCCTCATCCTCCTCCTCCTCAAGTGGCGAGCACATCAATCCGATCTTCACGTTCCGCAACTCAGATGCGGCGGCTGCACCACCGCCTCCCGTGCGACCACCCCAATCCATTCTGGATGCCGACGAGCTGTTCATGGCCGATCTCAAGGAGGGCGGTGGTGCAGTGCCACGACCACCGCCACCGCCACCACCACCACCGCCTCGAAAGCCCAGCATCGATCGCGATTCGGACACCATCTTCTACATCTCGAACACGGAGGTCAAGGTGGGTGAGTCGCTGCCCACGGTGGGTCCGGTGGGTGAGCAGCAGCGCAAGTTCCAGCTGGAGAACCAGTTCTTCCCCGCCAGCTATGTAATGCAGGAGCAGGAGCAGAGGCAATCCCAGTCCCAGCAGGCCGACGAAGACATCATTCTGTCGCCACTGCACCACAATGCTGATGGACTTAAGATCTTCCGCAGCTCCTCGTTGAGCAGTGGGGATGGAGCACCACCGCTGGACGTGACCTATGTGGGTGAGTCGGTCATCGAGGTGGAGCAGCAGCCGCAGAGCTGGAGCAGCACAGTGCCACCACAGCAGCAGCAGCAGGATATTATCATCCAGCCGGCGGTGCTTCCGGACCTGGCCATCGGAGTGCCCGTAATCGGGGAGCTGCCGCCGCAGATCGAGCTCAAGGAGATCGACTACATGCCCGGGGAACTGGGCATGGGCATGGGCATGGGTCAGAACGGTATGGGCATCTACGAGAACGACATCCAGAGCAACAGCATCGACAGCGAGCCGGATGTGATCGAGAGCTCCATCCAGTACGGTGGGGATCTGATCGACGACGGAGCAGGCGGTGGCTTCGATGGCGTGGAGGGCTCCTATCCCTTCGAGAGTCCCGCTCACCGCCAGCTGCAGGTGGGTCATGGCCTGAGCCACCTGCCCCACCGCCAGTCGGCCAACCACTTGCACCGCGAACAGCTCCCGATGGCGGAGATGGTAAATGCCACTCTCCTCCAGCGGTATGATGGTGGATCGGGATCCGGATCGGGTTCAGGTTCGGGATCGGGATCTGCCTCGGCCATGGCTCCTTTGCTGGCCAGTGGAAGTGGCAGGACCGCAAATGCCACCGCTCTCTCGGAGGATCCTCTAGCGGATTACGATGGTGAGTTCATATCTCTTTTCCCCAAAGGAAACCTTTAGAACACTTTATATTATATTTGTTTTCTTCAGGATTCTTCAATCTCTTTGCTGTTTCCATGGGTCTCATCATTGTCATCCTGCCCTCAGCCCTCCTGGTGTCCATGTACTGCGCTATAAAGTAAGTAATACTAATATTACCAGATCTATCAGTATATTCCATTACAAAAAAAAAATCTCAAAAATCCTTTAACAATTTCTAAAAGCAGAGTGGTTTCTATCTTGGTATTGTAAAAATACACCTATTTCTAGGATAATAGAAATATCAAACATATTCATTGCGATCTTAACATTAAATACATAAAATCTTGGCATTTGGGTTAAGCGGTAAAGGGCAACTTCTGGAGATGTGTGTTTGTGAAAGGGATTTTACATTTAATGTTTTACATATAGTATATTGGAATACTTAAATAAAACCTGTTAAAGCGGGTTTAATATTACCCTGGTAAATATATGTTGTATAAATTCTGACTAGTAAAGGGTCTTTTAAAAAACATTCTTGGGAGAATTTATAATCAGATTTAAATGGAAATAAAGGAAAGCTTGAGCAATCCCTATTATAATGAGCTTCACTTTAAGTAAATAAATGCATACCATATAGCCCTCTTAAAGTGACGAAGAAACCATCGTCTGCTCAGTCACAACATCAACCTTTAACCTCCAAAACCCCCTTCCGCGCCAGTGAACTGTCATTCTTGGCGGCAACTGTACCCAGACAATATGGTCTTTCATCCCGGGCTCCTTAGCCATTCGGCTGAGCTAATTGGTTACGCCTCGTGTGGCGCTTAATCAGCTTAGACGGCAATGTCCCACACAAATCAAAAATAATTGCAAGAAATTGCGAGGAAGCAGCCAAGTTGGAAATGGGAGGGGGTTTGGAAGTCTGGGGCGGATGAGCTGGGCTAAGGCCACCTTAAAATAGAAAGACAGCATGCGGGTGCCTGAGTGGCAGGCAACCCTAATCCGATGCCGCCTAAACCTCAATTTTAAGGATTCCCCGGGCGAAATGTGTTGCCTACTTTTCAGCGGCGACCCCCACGCATGGCAGAAGAATGCACTCAATCTAAAGCAATTTGCCGGGGCAGCCACCTGACCCCCAGAAACCCCCAGAACCCCTGGAACCTCCTGGAATCCCCGGAACCCAACGCCACCCAACCGCTGCAGGCGAGGCGTGGCAAATCGCATTTATCAGCTTCATTCGTGGCGTTTTATTTCTCATTCGCATTGCTAGCGACAGACAGCAGAAATAGCAACAAAACATTGACAAATCTGTGACGGGAGGTGGTTCAGTGGCTCAGTGGCTCACTGGCTCAGGGGGTGGTGGCTCAGGGGGTGGTGGCTGCCATTGGTGGGGTGGGTTGGAGTGGTCTGGGGTATAAAATTGAGCGCAATGCCAGGGACGCACATCCTTTATCGCCCGCAGTCTGGCCCAAACATAAATCTTGGCCGCGCCACGAATTGGGTTGAAAGCTCTTGGCGAAGCTGCTGTTTCTCTAGATGCGGATTTATATATTTATATACATATATATAAATGTAGTGTACATACACAGAGAGAAATGGTGTCAGTATGAATTAATTAGGATTTATCTTGTGGTTTCTTCCCATGAGAATTTCACATTAAATCATATTAAAATATTTGTAACCTTTTGGGATTATAATATTTTTACATTCAAGGTGCTTAAAGTTATAATGTTTTAAGAATGTTTAGATATTAAAGTAACATTGTCCCGAATAACAAATAAATATAAACTTAATAGTGATGTTTATTATTAGATTAGATTATTAGAGAATTCAACCACAAACTCATAGGGGTATCCCACGTCCAAATCGGGATCCTATTACTAAAGTTATGGAATCTGGAAGTCCAGTTTTGGGGTATCGTTCTAAAACCCATTGGAAATAACGAAAAATCGAACATGAAAATGGGTTAAAAATGGGACCATCTCATACGAGAAATATTGAAATGTAGATTATTAGAGAATTCAACCACAAACTCATAAAGGTATCCCACGTCAAAATCAGGATCCAATTACTAAAGTTATGGAATCTGGAAGTCCAGTTTTGGGGTATCGTTCGAAAACCCGTTGGAAATAACGAAAAATCGAACATGAAAATGGGTTAAAAATGGGACCATCTCATACGAGAAATATTGAAATGTAGATTATTAGAGAATTCAACCACAAACTCATAAAGGTATCCCACGTCAAAATCAGGATCCAATTACTAAAGTTATGGAATCTGGAAGTCCAGTTTTGGGGTATCGTTCTACAACCCATTGGAAATAAGGAAAAATCGAACATGAAAATGGGTTAAAAATTGGACCATCTCATACGAGAAATATTTAAATGTAGATTGTTAGAGAATTCAAATACCAATAAACTTTCAAAATATCATATAATTTTTGGGGTTGTTTCTGAAACTTTAATAAAATACTAAAAATAAAATATTTAAAATAGATCAATTAATTAATTAAATTATAAAAATTAGCAAAGTTGCAATATAAATGTTCTTTTCAAATGACATAAAAAGATTTAGAATATTGTAAAATGTGTGGCATATTTAATAGCCGCTATTTATTGGCTTGTAAAAAAACAACTGGCAATTTCTCTCTGTGCATCCACACATTCTCGCCGGGCACTAAATGCCAAACAAAATGAAAGCGGGGAGTGGGCGACTGGGAGTGACAGGTTGATGGGGAGCCCGGAGAAAGCTGAGGGCGCAACAAATCAACGCGGCGGAATCGAGAATCGGCGAGGCCGGAAACGGAAGTCGCCGCACGCACACACACACACAGACAGATAGCATATCCTCATCCTCATTCGCAGATGATGTAGATGCCAGGAGCTAACAAGGCAGCTGCTTTTGGGAAGGTGATCCCTGCGCCCCTCAGGGTTTCCCGCTTTTCGGCAGCCGCAGGAAAAACGCATAAAGCGGCAAATGGCAACCGCAAACGTTGCCATTCGGCCCCCGCAACAAAAATAGCACAGAGAAAAAGGTGCCGTGAAAAGCCAGCGTCAAAATAAAAAGGAAACACACAATTTATTTGCCAGGACATTGTGGCCATGGGAGTGTGAATGGGTGTGCGTGTGCTGGTGTCTGGGAGGAAATTGCACAATAAACTCTTGAGACGAGAAATTAGTTGTGCGTGTGGCTCGTTTCGGCGGCTTGGCAACTTGAAATTTGTTGAGTGCCACAAAGGTCCCTTTTCCGCAGGAGCCACAATGGGATACTCCCGGGACAGTGCCAGGATACTCACTCAAGGAACTTTCCTCCCCAAAAAGTGCTAATATTTATGGCGCTTTCAAAAGCTAACTTAAGGAATTTTCAGCCAGCATTAATTCGAAACCCAAAAACTTGTCACATTATATATTTCCAAGAGATAGGTTTGAAAAAATCAAACTAAACAGCCATTTTCATTAAATTTAAGCCGGAAAGTGTGCCTTGTAATGCCTGGATTTTCCTAATCCTTGGTGATTGCAGGCAGCCGCAAAGTAGGCAACAAAATGTTAATTTCAACCGCGGCATCATTACAAATGCATTGGATTTTGAAACTCTGGCCTGTGCGGCGCCGAAAAGCTGCGGCAACAACTTTTGCGCCTTTGGCCCAAAGACACTCCATCCCGCTTTCGCACTAACCCCGTCTCTCTCTATCTTCTCTGTTTTTTCCTTCGCAGGTATGTGCTTGGCAAAAACTCAGGAGCGGGCACGGGTGGCGCCCCAGGCGATGACAGCGAACAGGGCCAGGACTCCAAGCACGAGGTGAGTTCATAGAAGGAACCCCCAGCCCCCAAACCCCCTACAACCCACATCCCATCTCGAAGTACACCCATCCCCCACCTTCCCGTCCCAACCTTCGCGTGATGGAAATTGAAATTTAAACGCAAGTGCCATCAGAGAGTGTCTTCAACTGTTCGCAATAACCCTCCTCCATCACCCCCGTGGATGCACTCGTCTGCTGTAGTTGCTCTCGAGCTCTCGAGAAAATTAAACAATGGCTGAAATTTCCGCGGGAAATTTTATTGCGTTCCAGCTGAAATTGAGAGCTGAAAGGGCAGAATTAAAGATGATACTGCGGTTGGAGGAGAAAGGTTAATAAAAGAAATGCTTTAACGTGGCTTAAACAAAAGGATACCGTTTCTTTCGCTTTTACCATAAAAGCATTTCATTTACTACCGTCTATCAAAGTTTATTTACAAGCTTGGTCATGGTTGGTTTTTATATTTCCTTACCTCAAGGTTTTTAATCATTTCATCACACTTAAGATTTTCCAATTTCGACACTTTTTCAACACTGATGAGACTAGCTACGATTCAGATTAGATATATGTAGGATCTAGGAATGTGCAATCAATTAATGATATAAGTCTTTGATTTTTTTTGACAATAAGAAATCAGGTCTCTGAAATACTTTTAATTAAAAACATCTTTAATAACTATTCTTAAAAAAAACTAACTATTCTTATAAAAAAGTAATATGTAAACATAACATATAAAATATTTGTTACAAGTTGATATTACTATTTGTTTTGAGACTTTTATAATAGCAATTTTAAATAACTGTTACAATTTTTAATTTAATAAATGTATAACCGTTGTGGGGGTACGTTATAAAAAATTAAATAGTTATAGGATGTGATACCCAAAAAAGCTTATATAGTAACCATTTTAAATACTACTTTTATTTTGCCTAGTAAGCTAGAAAACTTTTTAACAAGGTCTTAAACGAAAACTTTAAGTTCTTAGTAGCTGAAAAGACTTGTTTTTAGTACTTGGGCTATACTTAAAATGCTCAAACATATGAGTTCATAACAAAATGGAACATAAAATGAAGATAGCTTTAAACATTTTAGACTTGTTGAGAGGGAGTTGGCAGTGCAGTTAGAGGTTGGGGGGTTCAAGTTTAAATGCAGCTCGAGTTGACTTGGAACAGGAATGAATTCCCTTGGCTGGTAATGAAATTTCCCAGTCCTTTGATGGTGTGCGAGAGTGAAAGAGTGTGTGAAAGAGTTGGAGTGTGTGCGTGAATTGCATTCCACTTGAGTACTGCTCTCTCCTTCTCTCTATCTCGTTCTCCCTCTCTCTCTCACTCTGTTCGCCTCTTGCAGTCAGAATCGTCGTCATTCTCATCATCTGACTTGGCATTTGCATCCGTTAGAGGCACCACTTCCACCACTTTCACCTCCCCACGCCCACACCACCACCCACCGCCCACAGCTACGCCCCCCAGCGGTGACAGTCAAGGCCATTTACCCATACAGATGCCTGGTCTGGAACACCTCGCGTTTCGGTTCAAAGGGGCGGTGGATGGGGTAAATAAGGTGGATGAGGTGGTTCTGGTGGGTGGTGCCTCCTCCATTGGTGGCTCAAGTGGTGGCCTTGCTCCCTGTGGCTCCGTCACCAAGATGACGCTCAAAGATAATCATCTGATTGTTGTCACCGAGGAGCGGCACGTAAGTTCGTTAGTCATCCGATCAGCTCGTCGTCCTTTTGCCCGCCGCCAACTCTGGTCGGGATTCTAGATGTGTCTTCCTATCTCTGTCTCTGCATCTACCTATCTCTCCGCCACTCGGAACAGGATGTGCCTGAGTGCTAAACTGGATGTTGTAGTAGTTTGTTCGGTGTTCTATACTTGGTGCCTGCCTATCCTCATCATCTTTGACTTGGTTTACACACTTTCGAATTCCGAAATCCGACTATCCTCCCGTTCCGGTTTGATTGCATCCAAGAAGTACTGCTCGTTTCTATCTGTCTATTTTCACTTAGAAGACTCTTCTCTTAAGATAAACTCACCTTCTTGGTGCACTGACTTCTTGGGTTTAAGATTGGTTAAATGAGAATGGATGTGGATGCTTCTTCCAAAGTCTATCTATTATTATGTCTTTATAGCATTTGTACTATCCTCTTTGATTCATTATTAGCTCTAATTATATACCAAGTTTATGATATATTAGTTGTATTATCCCCTTCTTAATTTCCTCTAATTTCCTTATTGTGTTCTATAAGACACCCAACTCATCGGATGGTATTAACTCATTATCCTTGGGAACTTGCAGTGATTGAGCTTTTAAGCCCGCTATTGTTTTATAAATCTCCATCTTCGTTATTATTTTTAAGTTACCTTGACTGCCGCACTTTTCAGTTTCTGTTTCTGAACCCTTTGTGTTTAAGTGAGTACTTTATTTACCGCACTTCCCTATGCCCTCCGACACTTTGGGGCGACGCTTTGCCACTTGTTCATTTGTCCTGGCCTTGAATGTCCTTGGGTGAATCCTGGTGGTCCTTGGGTGGTCCTGGCACATCAATGGGCACCTGCGGGCCATGTGACGGCGAACGAGGGCCAGATTTGAGTCCGAACAACAGTCCGTTGTCGTCTATTTGTCAACTTGAGTGGGCTAGTGTGTGTGCGACACAGAAAGAGAGAGAGAGAGAGAGAGTGGGTGTGCCTGTGTGAGTGTGCGGTGTATCCTTGGGGCGTATGTGTGCCACAAGCATATGCAAATGCAATTTTCGACACTTTCCGCATGGCAGCCAACCGATTTGTCCGCTCTGTCGCTCTTTTCTCCACCTCCTTCCGCCTCGACCACTTTCTCCACTTTCCCCCGCCACTTTTCTTTCTCACACTCTTGTATCCTCAATGTTGTGCCTGTGTGTCTGTGCATCCTGTTGTGTTGTGTTCTGTGTGTGTGTGTGAGAGTCCTGCACCTTCTAACTAACATGCACCAGGATGCCTGGCCATCGCTTTCAATAAAACTTGCCCTCCTTTCTCGCAGGATATCTCACGAAATGCCCGGGAGACAAAAATGCACACTGACAAGGATGGCGTCTTCGTGGTGGAGGTTGCCCGTGGCATCGACTCCAAGCAGCTGGCCGGCGATCATCCCGGCGTGACCCTGGACGCCACCGAACTGCCCTTCGACAACAAACAATTGGCGCCCAACGGGGGGCACTTGCTGGACAAGGCACTGCCGCCCAGCCACGAGCAGGTGCAGATCCATGCACCACCCCTGGACTTTGCCTCCGCCACCGGTGGTCCTCCTGCTGCCCCGCTGCATCTCATCGAGGAGGCCGAGGAGCATGGGGCCGAGGATTTGACCCAACAGGAAGTCGAAAGCCAACCCATTCTGGCTCGCACTGGCCTCTCGCAATCGGATCTCAGCTCAACCTCGTCGACTGACTCGAACAAGCGGTACTCCTATGGCAACCAGGAGCTCTATGTCATCGAGCAGCCGGGCTATGCCACCAGTTCGCCCACAGCCAAGCCCATATTGATAAGCCCAAATCAAAATGAAAATCAAAATCTAGGCCAGGAACGGGAGCTAAAGTCACAGATGTCCATTAGTCCCGAGCAAACGGAGATCGATTCAAGCCAGGGGTCTAAGAAGTCGGATGAGGAAGTTCTGCCGGAAAAGGAAATAGAGACTCTGCCGGAAAAGGAAAAAGAAACTAAGCCCGAGAAGGAAGTAGAGATTACGCCCACAGAAGAAGTACAGGCTTCACCAGAAAAGTTGGTGGTCCCGGAAAAGGTGACAGAGGTTCAACCCGAAGAAGAAGAAGTAGTTCCAATCAAAGAGAAAGAGTTTCCAAAAAAAGAGGAAGTGCCTCCACCAACAGTGGAGGTCTCTCCACCACAGGAAGATCCAGTTCAGATTGATCTGGATGAGAAGCCAGAAAACACAGACAAGCCAGACAACCCATTAGAGGAACAACCCGAATCAAAACCAAATCCCATTGAGACCCATTCCGAGCCGGAAAAGGAGATTGCAACCGCAACCGAATCCCAGCCAGAGGAGACTGAACCGGAGGCAGAGAGCAACTATGACAGCCTGATGAGCCTGCCGGCGCCACCATCCACGGAGGAGATCAAAGAGCTGGGCGACTACACACTCATCGAGTCCAACCAGCTGGACAGCCTGCCACCGCCACCACCGCCGCTCCTGGAGGCCCCGAGCACTCCGCCGGCGAGTGAGAGGCAGCTCATCAGCAATGGGAGTGGTGGTGGGATGGGCAAGGGCGCCACCAATACGGTGGGTGGTGCGGCGGAGGAGCCGGCCACCCTGACACCGCCCGCCTCGCCGCCAGCCACCCCACCGCCCTCGCAGACATCGACCCAGTACGGCAGCAATGGGTTAACCAACGGCATCCATGCAATGGCCGTGGTGGATGTGAATGGCAGTTAAGAAAGGCCAGGTAAGATGGTTTTTTTTTTCTCATCGGGTCTCATAGAGATCGTGGGTATTGCACACCCGTAGCTTGTAAGGATTACTAGGCGTACTGACACCCAAAAGCCAAACTGTGGCGAATTTAAATATATATACACTTAATAGAGACAAAACTTTTTCCACTTACTGTTTGTTGATTTTCGAATATAACGAATAATAACAATTAAATGCGATTAATATAAATATAAATCATAATTAATTGTTTGTCTATTTGCGGCTGGCAGCCTCTCCCCCCACCTACCATCCACCCACTGTCCACCCACAACCACCCACTTCGACCCACTGCTCTCTCCATTTCGGGGGGAGGTGCGGCTAACGAGTATTTCAATGTCTATAACTATAACAATAAAGCTAACAAAAAATCCGAATAAAAATGGAAAAGCAAATACAAATACAAATACGATAGAATCTGCATACAGACTACATATAATATGATAAATGAAAGCGATACATAGGCAAACAGAATCGCAAAAAGAGTAACTACCGATATGAAACGATGCATAATTAATTAGGCTAATTATTTACACACACAACAGCGCCAAAAACTAAAAAAAAAAATCGGAAATGTCAACAGCGACCGCATAGAGGGCATAATTGTAGTGAAATTATTTGGGTTCGATTGGCAAGTTCGTGGACAGCCAATAACATCAAAGTGTGTCCTGTGTCCGGATCCTAATTGAGGCTTAGTGTATAGAGTTTTAATTAGCAGAAATCCGGAAGGAAGTCCGAGTTGGTTTCAAAAGCATCAATTGCCTTTTAGGGGGATTAGATTGAAGTGTATTTCCGGTGAAATCGATTTATTTATCACAGGGTGCTCTGGGTTCACACAGTAAAGCGTTTCCATTTTTCAAATGCGTAAAATGTGTAAAAGATTCCAAGGAAATCACTACATTTTCAAAGAACTTATAAAGGTGTCTAAAAGTATGCAACAAAATATTTTGAGTCCGGAATTCCAATGAATTTGCTACAAAGGATGGTGTTCTTTTATTTGATGCATACTTTTGGGCACTTTTATTGGTGATTTCAATACTCAACATTTTTAATTTGAAATTCCAAAGGCAAGAGAATAGATATAATGGCAGCAAGTGCCCCAAAATAAATTCCGGACATAGAGCACACCCAAATATCGTTGCTATTTCGATATTCATGTTTCGCAAATTACACACTTCACTTGACAAAATCAAATGTGCCGAACTTTTGTAGCAGCCAACACAATTTACAAAGAGAAACGAACAATTTATACAATGCCAATACGGTGATTACAGCAGAATATATGTAACCTTTTAAACGATAAAACCGAAATAGTTATAGTCCTAGTCGATATGATATATATATATATGTGTATGTATATTTTTTTCGTGTGTGTGTATGGAGAAGTTAGGCGAAATGGGGTCTTCAACTCCAAGCAAATGAGAACTAAATGGCTAACGATAGACATAAGATAATTGGCAAACTAAATGAATGCAGATCGTGAAAAACTCCCGTATGTGTATTTGCTCCGCATTAATGGTCTACACACATATATACAGCATTGATAAAATATAGAAAAACTTAACTCTTTGAAAAAAACAGAACTCTTAGAAGTAAAGACGAGCGACGAAATAATAGATAAAACCCAAAATCCGTGCACTGCAAGTGGCACGTTATAATGTAAGTAGTAGGAATTATCCATGCCCCGGATATAGTGAAGGGGTCGTTTATAGGTGGAACTTAATCCCTGGCTAACGATCTAACCACTTTTGTTGTTTACGTTTGTTCAAATTGTTTTATTGACAATTAAACCCGATGGTCGAGCGAGGATGCCAATGAGAAAATATTATGAATATTATAAATGAATAACCCAAAAAAGAAAAACAGTAATCGTAAATCAAATATAAAAGTTAGGAAAAGCGTGAAGATGATTTTTTTTTTGGGTCGAACGAAAACAAAAGAAATAAGTAAATGTGATTGTTATTTAACCTTAAGTTATTATTAAAATCTAACTTAAACTGATATGTGTGTGAGTGTGCGTTTAAGAAAATATTAGCAAGCCAAACGAAACGAAGCGAATCGGAATGAGGCGAAACGAAACGAAACGAAAGGAATGGCAATGGAACGCTCAAAAGCAAAGGCAGGCGATAAGCGATTAACGATTACCGATTAACGATAGCTGGCAACTAGGCGAGATTAAGGTCCTGCTAAAAAAAAACCGGGAACTTACCCGAAATAAATGAAATTCAATATTAAGAACGATTGCAACCGAAACCAAATGAGAAATACACACGAAAAGCAAAGTCAGACGAATGCATTTTCCATGGGCGGTGGGGGCATTGGCATTTTGGAATTTTTAATTTTGTGTGTGTTTCAGACGCCAAGGACCCCAGACTCCGTCGATTTGCGGGCTGCCATAAAATCGAACGGAACAGAGCCACTCAGGCGATTTGGTTTGGTTAAAGACCCATAAAGCCCCGTCAGTCGAGGGCGTAAGGACCCCGGACTACAAGTATGACTGCAATGTGTGTGCAAAGGACGATTCTGCGAATGCGAATGGGAGCGCAAGGAGCAATGGAGCGGAAGTTGGGGGGCGGAAAAGGGGGTCTTCGAGGGGTCCAAAGGGGCGTGGCAGCCGGAATTGCAGCCAGCTCTTAACTGGACGTTTTGAATTTCAGCTGAGGCAAACGGCTACAATCACCTACAGCATGGAATGCTACCCTACAGATGCCTATCCCTCGGATGGTTGACTATGACAGGCTGATGTTGAGGATTAGATAGCATCCAATGGAGATTGGGCTCCAGCAGGACAGAGCCAGAAAGTACTTCTTGTTAAGTATGTACATATGTTTCTTCCAGTTTAACTACCTCAAGTAGAGAAACATTCAAATAAAATGTCTGACTGTTTGAAGCTCTTAATATAAACTATTCGAAAAGGTAAGTTGCTGATTTTCTATTTTAAGGCATTAAAGGTTTAAGGACCAATTTATAAAAGGTGTTCGTTTAAATCTTTTTTAAGATATTTTATAATAAATATGTTGTTACTCAAAAGGACTAAAAATGTAAGTGAAATGGAATGAAACTTTTGTTTTTTTAGAAATGGTGATCCTATAAACTTTTACTTGGCTAATTACGTATCTTTCCTATCTCACCTCATTGAGTACTGTCATCTGCGTGTTTTTTAAAATTTAAAATATAAATACTAAAAAAAGTGAAGGGTAATTTAAGTTTATGTAGTGAATTGAAATCTTTGAACCATCACCTAAAATTTGCCTAAGACCAAAATAAAGCTAAAATTCTGAATCATAATTAGATCCCTAAAAGGTCTATTCCTTTCAAATCCGACTTATAAGCAATAGATATAGAAATTTACTACAATTTTGAGAAACTGTTTAAGGTGTGTTCTAATTTGTAACAATTTTCTCGTTCACATAGTTAACCAAAGGGGTCTTTTTTTGTACTTGCTTGTATCCCAGGGTATCCCAAAATCATTTCCTCGGTCCTATATTTCTACCCTCGGCTTCGTTTCCACTTAATTGCGGGGCAGCTCATGTTGTCTGCTCGTTCCGTTCGGGCTTTAACTTTTTTACTAATTTTAAATGGCGCTTCCGTTGAGCGAGGGGTCTCTGAAGGATCTGGATCTGGATGGGGCGGTGGAGATGGATGGAGGGCCTGGTGGTGGTGGTGGCTCTTGTTGTCAAGTGCTGTCCTCCTGTGTGTGCTCGAAAGTCGAGTCGACTTGAAATTTTAATGAAATGCGCTGCTGCTCTCGAGCTTCATCTATGTACGTCTATGTCTATGACTCCGGGTTTTTCGAGGCCCCGGGCAGACTTTTTGGGCTACTGCCTTCTGGCTACCAACTTTCAACTCCCAACTCCCAGCTACCAAACGCCCAGCTCCCCGTCTGCATTTCAAATTATTTTTAATTGTCATTTCTGCGGCATCGCCGGCGATGGCGTCTCATTTTTGGGCCTGTCAAAGGCATAAGGCCCCGGCTTTTGCCTTCCTGTGGCCGCTGGCGCATTTGCGGCAATCAAAATATTTATGCCATGGACAGTTGATTAACCGCAAACAGGCAAACGGGGCTGCTGGTCGCGCCCTCGTTCATAATTAAAATCAAATTAACCCACACACAAAATAGGCATCGTAGGTGGCACCACCACGTTTGTGGTTCGTTTGGGTCCGGATGGGGTTAGTTGCGACTGCCATAATTTCACAATACGGTTATGGCCGTATGACATTTGCCAAAAAATGGCCAACTGACGGAATTTATTTTGGTGGAGATAGAAAGGAAGTAAAATTGCCAAAGTTTGTTCTGGAAAACTTAAGAAAAATACGTTCCTATATATTTATATCTGTTTCATATTATACATTAGTTAGTTATATAAGAAGAAGGGAGCAAAAGCGAACATATCAAAGTGGAAATCCTTGTATTTAGATAAAACTGATACTGAATTTCATAAAACTGAGCATCATATGTTGTTCATTTTCTACTCCGTTTATAAAATAGGAAAGGAAGTGGTTACGGCACTATTTTCTTCGTAAGGTTCGAATGGTTGTACTACTTCAAAAAATAAATCCTTTCGGTTAGTAGAAATCAAAGCCAGTGTCATACGGCCACTAGAATGGTGCAATTTGCCCATTCCCATCCGTTTCCCCACATTCATGCTTATTCCTGTTTCTGTTCCATTGCCACACCGTTCCCCGCAGACCTATAAACCGGCAATCAGTGCAATCGACGGACTGGATACAATTTATTCCAGTCGCAGGGTGGCCCAAAATTAAATTGACATTTTACCGGGCCCAGAGCAAAGTCATTTATCCCCGGCACCCCGACGTCATTACCCCCCGGAACGACTGGAAACGGGCAACAGGGAGCAGGGAATGCGGGAATGGAGCGGAAAAGTCAGGAGGGCCAGTGCAATTTAACCTAGGACACAGATCATTAATCAAATAACTGCACAACTGACAAATTGGTTGAAGGGAAGGAAGAAAGAATGTGAATAAAATGTTTCCAAATCGAATTTTGGTTACCTAAATGCAAAACAATGAAATGGAACAGAAAGGAGTGAAATGAAACGATCAAAGGAGCTTACTTTTGAAACACAAATACAAATAAAATATAAAAGAACTACAAAAATAAATGCATACAACTAAAATAGAAAGAGAATACAAAATGTAAAAGTGTAGATAAATACTATTTGTTCATTAAAAATATTTTAAGTTTATTTCACAGGATTATAGCTTAGTAATATTTGCAGTTACGGTCATATTTTCCTTTCTGTACATGAATAAAGCAATTTACTAATTAAGCAGATTGCATACAACCCCTGTAGCTTTTTGCCTGCCTACATACCAACTACTGACACAAAAAATAAATGCATTTCGACTACGCTTAAATTGATGAAATTAGTGCGACAGATTGATTTTTGGCACGTTGCACTGATTGATTGACTGAGTGATTGATGGCTGGTTGGGGCGGCTGGCTGCAGCAACTTTTGTTCGATTTATGGGCCACTGCCCATCGCTGCGCTTTATGGCCATCGAGCATAATTGAATTTAATTTGTTACAACCATGTATCTATCATGGTCCAGCGATTCGGCAATCTGTGCAAAGTGAAAAGTCTTTCCTAATGGATTTCGAGGAATTATCGTTGGCCGAGATTCAACTCGAAATTTATACGCTTCGATATATGTTAGGCTATTGATTCAATTAATTTTTATCAAAAGCCTGAATATAACAAAAAAAACAAGACGTGTTCAAACAATGAGGCGCAGCATAGGATACCAGAAATACCAAAAAAATAAATCAAAATAGGTCGACGATGCGTGGCCAGAAATTTAATTGATTCAAACAATTCAAACGATTTGCACATTAAAAACTCCGCTCTCGGCCGTTTCGGCCATGGCCGGCAAATCAAATTGGAATGCCAATTGAATGGCGGAACCGGGGAACTGTGGTCCACACAGTTCCACAGGAACACGTGTCCCCCTTGAAAACTCCTGGCCTGAATTTAATTTTGATTTTTATTTGGAGTTTTATTTATATTTTTATTTTTATTTGGTTTTAAAATGTCGAACGATTTAATTGAATTGCTCACGGTCCGGTCACCGAAATTTTCCCACCCCTGGATAATATGCAAAGTGGGTGGGGCGGTGCTAATTTCATCGCCCCCGGGCCAAATGGCCAAAAATCGAATTGAGGGGAACCGGAAGCGGAAACGGAAAGGGGCAGGGGTCGAGACTGGGCAGCCGTCGCCATTGCCTTTTTCATGTAGCCGCAAATTGAACACGCCGGATACGTGGACCATCCCAGTATGTTCGCATATAAAGTGCTGCATATGTGTTACTTTCGGGGCCATAAACGAACTTCAAGTGCCATCCTTAAAGCCATCGGACGAGGCCAAGTGTCCACTTCCGTGAAATGGAAATCTCCATTTCAACTTCCGACCCCCTTCTCCGCACCTTTCACCCCTCACCACATCCCCGTCGTGTTGATTTGCCTAATTAAAATGGCTCGGTCGAGTGGAAACTTGAGAACACATCCTCTCACGTCCACTGCACATATGCAAATTCACATAATTTTGACAATTGTCTGTTTGTTCTGCCCAATGAGGTGTAAGAATGTGGTAAATTGAAGAGCTAAACTGGAGAAAATAATGGAAAAGAATAACATTGTGGCCATAATAGCTCGGGGGAGCGGGGAGAATTATCAAAAGATTCAGGAAAATACATCCACTTGAGTGAAAAAATCACAATAAATACACAAATTTAGTGATTTTTTTGTTTAAATGCATAGGAGTGCTTAAAATCATATTTGAAAATTGGAAAAGCATACCTATAGCTCTTAAAAAATCTAACTAGGTAATAGAAACAAATTTTACTATTAAAATAAATCATTTTAAATTAATTTAAACTGGCTAAAGGCACTTAAATATATCTAAGGTGCTGGAAAGTATGTGATATATAATTACAAATAATTCAAATGTAACAGCTATCAAAAGGTTATTATATAATTTAGGAAATAGATAAAATTTTACCATTAAAATAAATCATTTAAAATTAATTCAAATTGGCTGAAATCACTTTAATAATCCTATAGTGCTGAAAAGTATGTGAAATAAAATTACAAATAATTCGAAGCTAACAGTTTTCAACAGCAAAAATGACTAGAAATTAATTAATAAAAATAGTATGAATAAAATTGTTCAGAGCAATGTTTGATACTTTTTAAGTTCACAGCTAAAACACTTAAAAATCTAGTTGGGTAATAAAAAAATATTTACAATTGCTCCATTCAAATAAAT